AGATTGCTTATGTTAATTTAAATCATTCAACTTTTGAAAAAGACTTAAGAGGGTGAAAGGGTCTTCTGAATCCATGTAGTCCAACCCTCATGTCTACAGATGAGGCAACTGAGACCCAGAGACTTGGCCAAGTTTACTCAGCTGGTTAACACTAAACAGGTGCTGGCGACCAGCTCCAACTTTCCAGCCAAGGGGCTTTCCACCATACCTCAGCTGTCCAAGAAACCCCTCCAGGGCACTTGCCTTTTTTGACAGAACCATCTAGGCCAGCCCCCGCCTTCTCAGTGGTGCCATCACTTCAGCTACAACTTTAACATTCATGGCTTCCCAATGCCTGTCCTTTCTCATATTTTTAATTAAGCATATGAATTACTCCTCTCAGTCCCTATCCCCAAACTCTCCCCAAATATTCTTGGTGATTGGTGTTGGAATGTTACTCTGAGTAAAACCCCAATTCTAGCCCTCCATACATATGTGAGGAATTCATTGGAGAGGAACTACAGAAAATGAAATACTGAGAAATTCTTTTTTTAATGCTGCTGGTGGTAGAGGGGTGGGAGGGTATGAGGCAGCAGATAGTGGTGGTGTATCAGGGTTTTTTTTTTTTTTAAACTGTTTGTAGCTGTTATATTTGGGGGAGGATGAGGAGGAAGGAAGAAGAGGAGAGAATTCACAGCCTCATTTCATCTGTGCATTGAGTTTTGTGCTGCAGCAAGGTTCATGGGTATAAGAAGTCCACAAACATGTTTGGCTGCTAACTGAAAGGTCGGAGGTTTGAGTCCTCCCAGAGATGCCCCGGGAAGAAAGGCTTGGCAATTTACTTCTGGAAAACCAGCCAATAGAAACCCTATGGAGTACAATTCTACTCTGATACATGTGGGGTCACCGTGAGTTGGAGTCAACTCAATGACAAATATTTTTGTCCCTCAGTGCTATAATCACCAGACACTTCTTTCTTGACTAAACAGAAGGACATCTTCCATTTACACTACTCTAAGCAGGAACACACTGGCTCTCACTGTAGCAGAACCGGGAGGTATTGTCATGTGCCAATAGCAAATCAGACCCCTCTGGACTTGGGCTGCTTCGTCTGGTGAAAACAACATCCTTGCCTGAAAGGCACCCAGGTGACCTATCAGCTTCTGCCCTAAAGCTAAGATCTTTATAATAACAACTCGGTATTTCTCCAAACTGTATTTTTCAGGACACCAGTATCTGTGAGATGTTTATAGGAGTTTCTTAAGAAAATAATTTTGGGAAATGCAGGTTTAACAAAATTAGCAAAAAATTCACATTTTTGTGTTAATGGCAGGCTCCCACGGAGCTTTTAATATGGTTGCACTGAGAATCTCTAAGAGAGTACGGTAATGTAAAACCAAAACCAAACCCATTGCCATCGAGTTGATTCTGACTCATAGTGATCCTGTAGGACAGAGTAGAACTGCCATAGGCTTTCCAAGGCTGTAATCTTTATGCAAGCAAATTGCCACATCTTTCTCCAGAACAGCTGGTGGGTTCAAATCACTGACCTTTCAGATAGCAGCCGAGCACTTAACCACTGCATCACCAGGGCTCCTTACAGTAATTTATACTTACCCAACCCAAATGTGTGAACGCAGACCCTTTTTAAGAAAGAAATGCTTATCATCACCTGCAGAAATAATTTGGGGGAAATGCTGTAATAAGTGGTTAAGATGAAATATGTTTTTAAATGGAAGAAATGCTAGAGAAAAGATCTTCTGGTGCAAGAGCCAACTTGCACATAGATACACCAGTGCTCAGATTTTTTTTACTAGCTCATTCTTGGCCATAGAAGTCAAACTGGTCATCACCAAACTAGAATTCTTGATCTCTTGTACTTGACTGAAACTTTTTGTTTGTTTGAAAGTTTTTTAAGAAGCACATTCCTTTCTTAGAGCAGGGAACAAATGAGTGTGGTCCCAATACTGGTTTAGCACAACACACTGCTCATTTCAAAGATGCAATGAAGCCTTCTGCCTCCTAGTCCTGACGAGCCCCTCCCTGGGCCCACGCTCCTGAGGAGGTGCTCCTGAGGAGGTGTTTCTCACCGGGCAGACCTTGTCACAGTGCTCTGATTCAGGGCCGCCCTTAGGGTACCAGAGAGTAGGGAGATTGAATGGGGCTTACTGCCTTGGGGGGATTGATAAGGGGTGTGGTTGGAGAATCTAGGAATTACTGCAGGAGGTGGGGGGGTCACTCAGACCAAAGAACAAATAAACTCAGCATATAAAGCCTTACATCAGTCTTTGTAAAGGCCATCTGGCTTCTCTGGTGACTGCTAGTTAAGGTAGTGCGATGGGTAATTTTATGTGTCAACTTGGCTAGGCTATGGTTCTCACTTGTTTGGCCAAGTACTAGTTGCTATTACGGAGTAGTTACGTGTGATTGAATTGGTTGGCCTTGGCAGGGCAGATTACCTTCCATAATATAATCTAAGCAATGTAATCACTTTCCATAATGTAATCTAATGCAATGTAATTCTTAATCAGTTGAAAAGGGAGTTTCCCTAGGGTGTGTTCTGCCTCCAGACTATAACTAGATGTTTCGGCAGAACTCACACACACACACAAACGAGGGAAGACAGACGCCATATGAGGGTGGTCTACAAGCCCAGGAACACCAAGGAACCAAGGAACACCTGGGGCTACTAACAAGGAAGGAATCCACATGTCCGATTTAGCCTCCAGAACTGTAAGAAGATAAACTTCTGTTCTTTAAAGCCACCTGCTTGGAGTGTTTGTGTTACAGCAGCACTGGGTAACTAAGACAGATAGGTCTCCCTGCAGACACTTCTACCCTACCAGGCAGGAGGCTCCTCGTGGGCAGAGCCAGTTCCCCTTGTTACTAGATTCCAAACATCTCATCCCACACCTGACACTCAGCCCTTAGTGTTCATTGCTGCTGCTCTTGATGGTTATGCTCTGGACAGGGTTGCTCATGGCTGCCCTTCCTGTCCTTGTGAATGAGATTTCACCTGTATATAAAGGTAGGCAAAAGGACAATGGATGGCCCAGGATAAACAGCCCACAACCTGCAGCTTCCTGGCTCAGACCATGGCAGGAAACCCACATCAAGAAGAAAAACTAGGAAGCTGCTTTCTTGTTGCTTATTCTCAAACCGGCCCACGCATGAATCTGTCAGTGGCTAAAAGGCAGCTCCTCATTTTGCAATGAGACTCTTCCTCTCAATAAAGAACATAATCTAGATGGAAGATTACATATCCTCATCCCTCCCCACCTCCCCCACCGTGGTCCAAATCCAAAACAAAGGGATTTTAATTTTGAATTAAAAAAATGTGGCCTATAAATATTATTTTTTTCTCAACTGACCTTCATACCAAAAAGACTGCTTAGGCTTTCAGCACACCCCTGGGTGGGTAAACACCACATGCTTCAGGCCTTCAAACATGTCACCAAGCCCTCTCCACTTAAACGATCCCAAATTGCCCAAGCCTGAGTTGGCTCCACACAGCTCTTTTGCATCTACTTCTAATATATGGCGCCTTCCTCGTGACTCAACCCAGTTGTCCTCAGAATTTCGCTTTGTACTTTTTCCCTGTTAGGCAGCTGGTCTCCAGCTGTTTGTTGTCCTCAGCTGATGGTGGCTGCCTGCCACTCCCTTTTGAAACTCAGGCTATGCCCAAGAATCATTATCTCCTGAGTGCCCCCGACAGTTCTGGCCTTTTCATCGCCCCTGCATTTCTTGGAACACGGGCTATGCCCTAGGAATCCCCTCCCCACAATTTCAACACCCCTCCCACCCAGGATGGCCCCGGCCCAGCCAACCTCTCCTGACAGTGTCCCTGCCATGTTCCCTTCCTGAGACAGGCTCAGAAGAGCTGAGCCTGAGGGCTGGGCTGGCGCATATGACACAGCTCTGGCCTAGACGGTGGATGCAGGAGCACCATCGGGACCAGCTGGGGGCTGACTCTCTGGCTGTGGGCTCCTCCTCAGGAGTTCACCTTCTTCCTTCATGGCCTTGAGGCCCACTGGAGCCTGCCTGCATTGACCTGCTCGAATGTCTGTCGGCCATTGTCAGTGGAGCCCATTTTGCTTAAAAGCTTTACCTCGCTGACAGGCCCTTTACTCTGGTTTGTCTATGCTGAAAGGCCTAGCGGGTAACTTTTGGGCCAGCACTTGAAACTTGGCAGAGAGATTAGAGGTGCTCTTTCCCTTGTCAAGGTGTCTCCTGAAACTGCTCACATGAGCTTTTTTTGTTTTCTTTCCAAATTTAAATAAGGAAGTAACCCAACATTCAGGGTAATAGTATCCCTCAGTGACCAGACATCTCAGTTGAATCTCGCTGATAGAATGTAAATCAGTTTCTCAAACTCTCTGTGACGAAGGGCCACTTTAAAAAGGTTTCCTCTAATTCACTGTAGACTGATACTTTTGCAAAATACAATAAAAATGAATTACTAGAGAAAAAAATAAAAAGACATAAAATATAAGCATGAATTTCTAGATTTAGACAACATTCCTCTGGAAAATTGGTGTAAAAATTTCTAGACACTCTCAATTTCTGTGCTTCTCCAGTCGTGAACCAAACAATAAATAGTTTGTGGATGGGCACAGGTCCACGGACTATACTTTGAGTAGCGCTGATGTATGTTGCCACCTTACATGTCAGTGCTTCATATTTATATTTCAGCCCACTTCTTTAAGACAACACAGCACTTCTGGCCTCTGCTCATCCTAGTTTAGTCTAAAGCACGTAACTAAGCTTTACACTGGATTATACCTCAGCTTGGGGACAGGGCTGCCCCCAATACACACCCGCTCACAACCCTTGCTGTTAATGGGCATTGCTCTCTCTAAGTCTCCTTAGAAGGGGCTTGATTCTATATATTCTACCTTCCTCTTCCCCAGGCCCCGCCTACCATTCCTATATGCCCCTTCCTGCCAACTGCTGCCTGAGGAGCCCTGCTGGGCTCCTGAGTGCTAGAGGGTCAGGGGGACAATGATACTCAGCTTACTCACCAGTGTCATTGGGATATTTATCCCCCTTGGTGCATGTCCTCCCATCATCCTCTTGGATGTAGCCCTCCCGGCATTCACAGCGGTAGCTGCCCAGGGTATTAATGCAGATGTGTGCGCAGAGCGTCTCGTTGCTGGTGGCACACTCGTCGATATCTGGGTTTGAACAAATGCGGAGAACACTCAGACAGTTTCAGAGAATTTACTTCCCACCCAACAGGTGACATTAGGCTTGGCCCCTTGGTGTAGTGTCTGCAAAGGACACTTTGCTTGACCTCTATCCAAGAAGCCTGGGATAAAGTGGGAAGCTAGAAACACGGACCATCCATGGAAAAAGCACCCCAGGCAGTTTCCACCATGGTTATAAACTGATCAGAGGTGGGGTTTGGCTGTGGCTCTGCCATTACCTAGCCATGGGGCTTGGTGCCCGTAGTTGCTAGAGTTCAGAGTTCTCACCTATAAAACAATGATAATGAAGCTTGCCTTAAATCCTTTGCAGGGCTTCTTAGAAAATGAGATAATGGATAGCAACACACTTTGACAAGTAAACATTATAAAAATAATTTTTTGCAATTACCCTAGTGTGCTAAGCATTTGCATGTCCCCCCTTATGGTTGTAGGTTCCAAGCAGCATGGTGGTGACCCAAGGTCACTTAGGAGGGGCTCCTTCCCAGTTAAGAGACACGACTGTACCTGGGAAAAGCCACTTCTGATAAAAGCAAATAGTCATCATGGGTCTAATGGAGAAAGTTTTCCCCAGGAAATTTCTGCCTCATCAATGACCAAAACAGACTCCTTATGAGCTGCGGAAATGAGCCATGAGACCATCAGACAAGTAGCCATTAAAAGTCCATGTTATCTGTGCACATCACAGACTTGCTCCCCTGCTGAATGGGGTGGAAACAGAAATGTTTCCCACCAGGGGACAAGAGGGAGGCACAAGTCGGTTTCATGTGTACTGGATGAAGACACCAGGTGGTAGTGGATGGGAAACAGGACATGCAGCCCCAGACTGTGCACATGTGGCGGGCAGACAGAGCCCATGCCTGAACTTTTGGATGCCAACGACTTCCCAGTCACTCCCTGGACAAGCTTCCAAGGACCCACCTCTAGCAGCCCTGTGTGTGCCCAGGGAGTGAGGCCATTTGGATGCTCCCTGGCAGTGAGTGCTAGGTCATCTGTAGACCAGGAAGTCACAGCTGTGTCCTCCTGTGTAGGTCCTCAGCCTGCCTGCCTTCCTCCAGGTTCCTAAACCCTGAGTGTGAAGCTGCCTGTGCTGCCCCGAGGAGGGAGGAAACATTGACATGGGAGACAGAAATAGATGGAAAAACTCTTAGCAGAATTCAAGTTCAACAGATCCCCAAACCCCCATATGTAAAGAACAGGTAAGCAGCTACTGCAAACTTAAGAGCCTTGTGAATGGGACCTGAGCCTTATGGAGCCTTACTACCACACTCTTTGTAGGCAAGGCTGTGGGTCTCCTGCCTCATTCACTTGGTGGTCTCAAGGCCATTTTTCATGAGTTGAGGCACCATCGCAGGTACCAATGGGGAGAAGCCAGGGGATCTATGGCTAGAAGTACTCTTAGATTAGATAGTGCTGTCTACAGCCCCTGCTGGGGCAGAGAGGGAGAGGGAAGAGTTGCTATTCACATCTAGTCACTTCCCTCTTGGGCTATTTGCAGTCTACTCAGTCTGTCCTCCAGCTGTCTCTCAAAACTTGACTGTATTTAGGAATCACTAGAGGCATCTGTGTAAATGCAGATTTCTGGACCCACCCTCAGAGTTGTGGTTCACTAGGTCTGGAGGGGAGGCCAGGAATCTGTTTTTTTTTAAAGCAGGAACTCCAGATGTTTCTGAGACACGTTAGCCATGGACTCACTGCACTTTGAAACATGTGGCTCCAGGGGACAATTAGCATAAACTTGCCTCAGAAACTCAAGGTGTCCAGGTTTGGGAGGCCCAGTCAATGATGGGGAGGGGAACCAGCTGGTGGCCATTGATGATGTTGACTCTTCTCAGCTGCAGCCCAGGTGGCTGGCTTCAGTGCCCTTTGAGTCACTTCTAACTTGTCTGCGTGTGGACACTTTCTCCTTCTCCAGTCTGTTTTCCTAGTCTTCTTCTGAGAGAACACTTTTTCTCGTTCAGTTTTTTCTGCATTTTTACTTTTATGAGTATTTATACTCTGTTTCACTTTATTCTAGTTTACACTTGTTAATGTTCCCCTTCTGCTCTTATATCTTGCTGCCAGTTGGGATCTGAGTGGTACCAACTCTGAAGAATTCCTTGGACATGTTTTTTTTTTTTTTTTTAATGTTTTGTAATATATCCAAATTTTTCTTTTTTTAAAATTATGGTTATGTATATAGGTCACAAAACATTTTTACAATCTTCACACATACAGTTCAGTGACATTAATTACATTCATTATATTGCTCAACCATCACCATTAACTGTTCCCAATCTTTCCATCACCTTTAACAGAAACTGGACATGGTTTTTTTAAAATGATTATCATGGAAGGTAGTGGTCCCTAGGATAACACCAAACACAACTCCATCCCACAAGTATCAGGACTTAAGGGGAGGAATCAAAGATGAAAGCAGCTCTGGGAGCTGGTCACACTGATGTAGAATGGCCAACAAGGGACAGAACCATCTGAACAAAGCACAGCCCTAAGAGCTGGAAAATAATGTTCTTCCCAACACACCCAGGCAGTATGGTTTCTCCCGCTTCCGGTGTCTCTCCCGATCATATCGGTATCCTGGATAACAAGTGCACAGCACTCGGCCAAAGTTATCTGTGCACTGCTGTTCACAGGGAGCCTCAGCACAAACATCATAGTCTGCAAAATAAAAGCATGAGCTCACATCAATAACAGGCATTCACTAGGAGGAGGCAGGGCTATCAGGCCCTGGTCTGGTATAGACGTTCTGAGCTGGACTCCACTCATGGGAAAGTGTGAAGTGTGAATGGCTACACTTGTTGTTGTTAGGTGCCGTAGGGTCAGCTCCAACTCATGGCGACATTATATATAACAGAATGAAGTGTTGCCTGGTCCTGTGCTATCTTCGTGGTCTTTGGTATGTTTGAGTCCACTGTGGTGGTATTGTGTCAATCCATCTCATTGAGGGTTTCCCTCATTTTTGCTGACTGTCTAGGAGCATTAATTCTTTTAGGCCAGGGGGTGTCTTCTAAGTGCACTGCAATGGGTAACTTAATGGATAGTATCATAGTGGTTAAAACCAAACATTGCTTGCAGTTCCCCTCCAGGTCATCTCACTGTCGTTTGGTCTTTGTTCCTCACCCACAGAGCAAAGATGCTTTAGATGGCCAGGCTCTGCAGCATTACCTGGGGGTTCTGTTCTGTCTTTTTCACCAACTACTGTAGAAAGAGAAAATCGTTCCAGCTGAACGCTAAAGACTGGCCCGCCCTGGTGATGGGCATTGGCGTCATAACGTGGGAGTCAAAGTCAGGCAGGCTCAGAGCAGGCTCAGGGAGGCTTTGGAATGGAAAGGCATGTGAGTTATTAGGGAACTGATGCTTGTGTGCATGGAAGTATGGTCTGTGCGCATTTTAGGAGGGCCATTCTGCCTGCTGAGAAGGAGCTGGGTATGTTCAAATGGCTAGAGATCTCTTTCCAGCCCTCCATCTCTGCCTTGTGCAAATTGGGGAGGATGCTCTATCACTCGTAAAGAATTAGGCATCTCCTCCTCTTAGTCTCACAAAGTGATATTTAATGGGCCTCTGAAGGGACTCTGGCTCTAAACTCGGAGCTCAGAATGAACCGTCACTCCCAGACTAGACCCAGCCTCTTATTAATCACTGCACTATCCTCCCCAGGTGCTAACAAACTATCCTTGGACTCAGACGAGCCTGGCTTTGCTCTGCTGCATATGAGGGGGGAGGCGTGGGCTGTCAGCCACAGACATGGGCGGGGTCGATGTGACAAGGATCATGCTGTTCTCAGGATGACTTGGAAAGCTGCCCTGGCTCAATTTTCCTCCCCACAACTGGGCTTCCAAGCTGGCTTTACCTAAGTGGCATTCTGACCAACCTTACAAACTGTCCCTGGTCAAACATGTGTTCCTCAAGTAAGCATCGTCTCTAAGCAACCAAGTTCTGTGCTCTCTTTGCTCAAGAGCAAAGTCTCAGCTGTGATGGCTGTGAGCTGCCCTGCTCGGCCCACTGTAGCCATCATGCAGCAGTGGCTCAGGAGAGGAGGAACAGGGCAGAGAGGCCGTCCAAGTACTTGTGTGAATGTGGTGTCCAACAAGCCTCGGTTTAAAAACAACAGCCCCCTAATGTCCCATTATTCCTGCTCTTTTAGCTGATTCTTTTGATATTGACCTCCACGGTCCCTAAATAGCTGACTTACATTGCTTCTTTCTTTTACTTCTGTTTTAAGTACTCTCCATTGATTTCCAGAAGTCCCTGGGTGGTGCAAATAGTTAACATGCTTGACTGCTAATTGAAAATTGGGCAGTTTGAGTCCACCCAGAGGCACCTCGGAAGAAGGGCCTGGCAATCTATTTTTGAAAAATCACCTAGTGAAAATCCTGTGGGGCACAGTTTTACTCTGACACTAGACTCTCTTGTCCTATCATCTCTGATGTCCATATCCTCTTCTGTGTTTTGTTCATTTTATTTTCACCTCTTGTAATTAATTTCCAATCAACTCCTCCCTCCTTCCTCTCAGCACTACCCAGTTTTTCAAGTGCCAATGAAAACACCACCTCCTTCAAGAAGCCTTCCTTAGTTTCCTCAACAGACTTTAGTTTCTCCAACCTGTCAACACCCATAGGCTCTATAGGCCTCATAATCACATGTCCTGCCACACTGATTGAGTTGCCACTCTGTGCCAGGCTCTGTTCTAGAAGGTAAGAAGGCTTGTGGTGAAGAGTATAGGGTCTGGAGCCAGCCCTCCCGATTCTGCCACCATCTCTGTGACCTTGGGTTCTTTACGCCTCAATCGCCTCACCTGTAATATAGGGTGATGATAATACCCACTTTCATAGTGCTTTTATGAAGGTTAAATTGGATGATGCATTAAAGTGCAGTGCCCAACACACAACAACAGCTCTCCCTGCTCTTCTGCTTCTTTCATTGCTACAAAACATCTAGTCCTAAAATAGTCTTACGACTGTTTGGGTACCTGGCAGGGACTGTGTCCCTGGAGTAATCAGCCTAATTATAGCTCAATTAATTGTTGAACTTAAACAAGTTAGATCATCCTATCACCTGGCCATTCAAATGACACTTACAGCAGGGGTCAGCAGACTTTTCCTGTGAAGGGCCAGATAGGAAATATTTTAGGCTTTTCAGGCCATGAGGTCTTTGTGGCAACTACTCAACTCTGCCATTGTATTGTACAAGCAGTCACAGAGAATTTTTAAATGAATGGGTGTGGCTATGTTCCAATAAAACTTTATTTACAAAAATAGGTGGTGGGCCAGATGTGGCCTGTGGGCCATATTTTGCCAACCTCTGACTTGGAACAACAAATCTGTGGCAGTAGCTCCTTTAAATTGCAGCAAATACTCGTTAGTTAGCACATTTGTTTAGAAACGCTAGTCTCTTTTCACCATCTTTTCTGAAATCCTAGATTTATCCTTTTCATTATTGAGAGACAGAAGCCTTTATAACTAAAGACATAGTTAAAACAAACAAACAAAACCAACTGACTTACTCATGCAGACTAACCAACTTTTAAAAAAGTTCTATAAAAAGCAATATAACAGAGAGCTGGTTATGACCAAACAACTTTCAGCACTTGAGACCACTTTTCCTGGAAATATTCAGTTCTAGGTTATGTTAATCATAGGTGTTGTATTCTCACTTTAGGGTGAGGTAGACTGGTTTTAGGCCTAGCCATTTAAAACCGCAATATCTAACATTTAAAGGAACTCTAAGTATGAGGTATCCTTGTAATGTGTTTTTAATTAGGTAGGGCAAGGACTGTAATTGGCATCTTAAATTAATTGCCTAAACTTAATTTTCTATTGGTGTCCTCCAAACAGTACTATAAAGGACACAGCTGGTGACTGAGAAAAGCTGGTTTAGAAAGGAATGCAATTATTTTGACTTTTGTGGGGTTTTTTCCCAACATGCTCTAGCTGACGGAATTGGCTGGTAGCGAGACATTCAGTCTTAAGACTCAAGGCCAGATGTGAAGTGATTTTCTAACTAGCTTTCCTATGGCATTTTTCTGCTGTGGATCACAGCTATGGTTTAATGAACTCTTTCATCTTTCCACTGAAGAAAGCAATAAACAGGAGCGATTCATTTACTTCTAACTGATAAAGAAATAGATGCACTTTGTTGTTCAGACTCATAGCGACCTCATGTGACACAGTAGAACTGCCTCATAGGGTTTTCTAGCCTGTAATCTTTATGAGAGCAGATCGCCAGGTCTTTCTTCTACAGAGCCACTGGGTGAACTTGAACTGCCAACCTTTCAGTTAGCAGCTGAGTGCTTAACTGCTGCATCACGAGGGCTCCTGAGATGCAGTCTATAAGATAATAAACCATGAATTAGCTTGGCCTGGCCCCAGAGCCTCTATAGAGACCTGGCTTCTCACGCAACAGTGAAGAAAACTATTTCATATTACCCACCCACCTCCCCCCACCTACCCACTCCAGGCTGGGGCAAACTAATTTCATACTTTTTAAACAGTTCTTCAGTCTTCTCTGCATCATTAGACTCCTTTGCAGCACTCCTCTTCCTACTTGTGAAGTCCTGGGCTGCCTTCCTTGATAACCTAGCTCAAGTCTCCTCTCCTTCCTGAGACCACACCCGACTGTCCTGGTCCTCTGTGCTTGGTGCCTCCTCTGCACACCTGCTGCATTAAATGTGTCTGCTGCACACATTGCAGTTGTTAATGACCATAAGAGCAGCAATAAAGCATCCATCATTAATTGAGCATTCAAGAGCCAGCCTCTGTTCCAAGTACATGTTGTAATATTCTTAAAACAGCCATATGAGTCAAATACTAACATTTTCCTGAAAAAAACTAAGGTTTCAAGAGTAACTTGCCCCAGGTCATAGCTAGTAGGAGGTGGAAGCATGATTATAATCCAAGTCCATCTGATTCCACACTATCCGTGTCCTCCTGTATCCCCAACTTGACTGTACGCACCTTGGGTTCATGTCACGCATCGCTCCATCTCCAGTGCTGGAAGGAGTGCTCAGTTAGTGCTTGCTGATGTCATGAGAAGGGACTTAAAGTTTAGGATGTGAACAGCAGGTACAGAGTTCAGGAAGGAGGGTTGTGTTCTAATTGTGTATGGAATGTTGATTAGGGAACTACAGCCTATTAAGCATAAAGCCTGAAATATGAGAATGACTCAGTGCGTGTGTATGTGTTGTGCTATTATTAGCATATATGACACATAACTGAATTAGATTTAGAAGACTTTAATGCCAAAAAAAGAAATTACACACATACACACACATGCACAGTTAATCAGACACAGACAACACACATTCCATACACAACTGAGCTTTACAGATTTCTAATCATTAATGGTGAGTAAAGTGAGAAGTAGTAATTTTTTGTATTACATACCTTCTGGGATGCATTGTCCAAGAACAAATTTATATCCTTTGCAGCACTTTTTCCTAAGAGGCAAACAAACAAAAAAAGTATTTCAAATGGGATATGTGAGATTAAACCTATATATTTTTTTAGCTATTGCTTTTGGAAGAAATAAATTGTGGCCGGAAAAAACTAAACATAAACCATAGTGAGTGTGGAGGATTTTTAAGCCAATCTGAGATTAAAAGGAAAAATACTATCAATACCACATAACCACATCTTCTAATACCAAGATGTTCTTTCAGACACATAATTTATGAAGTTAACTCTTTGAAACTGTGGTATAAGGTCTAACATTCTGTGCTGCTTTGACATTTGGTAAAACTGGGAGGGCCTCAGATGACCTAATCACAAGTTCCTTTCCCTGATTTCCTCCCGCAGATAAGGTCCCCTAGCCAAACAACCTTCCTTATTCAAACGAACCAGGTGCAGTTCCTGCCTATCCTTGAGTAGAGGGTTTCAGTTCTCTGCCAGCTTACAGAATTATTCAAACAAGCCAATCACATCTTCCTGCAGGAACCAAAAGGGCACCCCACCCTCTTGATACTACAAAGCTGTCTCCCACAGCTTCTGGTTGTTCCTGAGTGTAACCCCTCTGTGGCCCTGCATGGGGTACAGTGTCCTCCTCCCCCAAGCTGTGAGTATACGTGACTATAAACTACTGTTGATGTCATCTGTTGTCCAGTGTTGGGTGTCGTGTGTTTGGCCATCCCCATAACCCAAGAGTGGAAATCCCTCCCTCACTAAGGAGGTGAATAGGAGAGAATTAAAAAGGAAGCCTATGAAAAAAGTAAAATAACTCTGAAACTTCTAGATACTTATATTAAATAATTGACCCCCAAAAACCAAACCCATTGCCCTCGAGTTGATTCTGGCTCATAGTGACCCTACGGGACAGAGTAGAACTGCCCCATAGAGTTTCCAAGGCTATAATTTTTACAGAAGCAGACTGCCACATCTTTTTCCCATGGAGTGGCTGGTGGGTTTGAACCACTGACCTTTTGGTTAGCAGCCAAGCACTTAACCACTGTGCTACCAGGGCTCCTTAAATAATTGAAGGCCCACCAAATGTAAGCACTTTAAAGGACCTTTGATGCTGGCCGTGGCCCTCATTCTTCAGGCCAAGGATTCACATGTCTTGTTAATGTCTCACAGGGAGCTAATTCTTATCAAGACTGGGACTGGAACCCAGGCATTCTGATTCCCATCAGAATGCTCTTCTTACGCCTGTACATAAGGTACTGAAAGTTACCTAAATTATCCGAACTGAAAAACAGCCAGCAGGAAATGCCTAATATAAATACTCAAGACTTCCACCTGCCTTAGATAGAGAGATAGTGCCACCGATCAAAATTCAAATCTCCATGGGAGAGGTGACGCCTATGGTATGGAGTTGTAAGTGCCTAACAGACCAAACCTCCTGCAGGTAACAACTATACACTCTGGACAAAAGAGAAGAAAACCGCTACCTGAAGGCTCTGAAGAGTGAATAAAAGCAGATAGATTTTGGATGGGAGTTGAAATTTTGGACAAGGAACTAACACAGGGGGAGTCCCCTGCTTTTAGAGCCTTGGTCTGAGGGGATATCACACATGCTACATCGTGTGGGGAAACTAAACTCTGGTAGAAAACCTGTAATATTTTTTGGCCTGATCAAGCAGAGGCCAGCCTGTGCAGCCAGAGCCACAAGAAATTAAGGGGGAATCTGGAAAGGAGCATGCTAGAGAAGGAGAGCCCCAGATTATCTTCCTAAAATTTAGAAAAATCTTATGAAGTCTATAATTTATAAATTTTATATTAAAAAAACCCATAGCCTTCGAGTCTATTCTGACTCACAGTGACCCTATAAGATAGAGTAGAACTGCCCCATAGGGTTTCCAAGGCTGTAATCTTTACTGAAGCTCTGGTGGCACAGTGGTTAAGAGCTCAGCTGCTAACCAGAAGGTCAGCAGTTCAAATCCACTAGCCGCTCCTTGGAAACCCTATGGGGCAGTTCTACTCTGTCCTGTAGCGTCGCTATGAGTTGGAATCAACTGGACGGCAATGGGTAATCTTTATGGAAGCAGGCTACCACATCTTTCTCCAGTGGAGCAGCTGGTGGGTTTGAACTGCCAACCTTTCAGTCAGCAGTTGAGCGTTTAACCACTGCACCATCAGGGCTCCTTAAATTTTATATGACATTTATTAAACATTTATACAATTGCTAAAAGTCACATCTAGTAAGAGAAAATTCTGAAACCCAAATGGGTAGAGCAACAATTCCTCATTCCTTCCCAGCATCTCTCACATGCTGCCCAGCTGTGGTGGATGTCTTACTTCAAAAAGATTTAAGTGGGCTGCCATTATAAAAACAGTGGTGCTTGGGATGCTCTCGAAATTCAAGACTTGACTAAAATAACCAAGGTTTATTTTTTTATTACAAAGGATACATTTGCCTGTACTTGTCCTGCCAATATAGATTACTTTGAATCCTTCTTCCGAATATTTTATGTTAGAAGGAAAACACACACATACACGGCATTGGCAGTTCAGTGGTAGAATTCTCATTTTACCTGCAGGAGACCTGGGTTCAATTCCCAGTCAGTGTACCTCATGCACAACCCCGACCTATCTGTCATTGGAGGTTTACATGTTGCTATGATGCTGAACAGGTTTCAGCAGAGCTTCCAGACTAAGATGAACTAGGAAGAAAGGCTCGGTGATCTACTGAAAATCAGCCAATGAAAACCCTATGGATCACAATAGTTTGATCTGCAGCGGATCATGGGGCTGGCGCAGGACTGGACAGCATGTTGATCCACTGTGCATGGGGTTGCCATGAGTCAGGGGCTAACAACTCTTCAATTAAGAACGACCGCATCGCTGGTATACATGACCTTTCCCCATCTTAGTTCGTTTTCTTTTTTTTGGTTTTTTTTTTTTTAATTGTATTTTAGATGAAGGTTTACAGAACAAATTAGTTTCTCATTAAACAGTTGGTACACATATTGTTTTATGACGATGGTTAACAACCCCATGACATGTCCACATACATATATATGTATGTATATATATTTTACTCACCGATACGAATGATGTGTGGCAATGTCTAGCATTTTCCCATTAGATACCATTTCCCAACATCTCCAACTAAATTACAATTTTATATGACAAGAGAAGCCCTTGGGGTATAAATTTATGATTATTATTATCTGTAACAGTGGTAGAGGATCTCCCTTTACATTCCATGAAATTTAAACCCTGCCTAGTTTTCCATGGTTTAAGAAAGTTCAAGCTCCTAACAACCAAAAGAAATCTGGCTTAATACAGTATTCATTAAAATTTTACAGTTATTACTTACTGTATTACTCAAGGCTGTCCTACAGAAAGCTATAAGAGGAAGAACAGTGCATTAGATGATTTGAAACTCAAGTGGTTCATGAGAAAGTTGGATAAGGGAAAAACACGTGTTTTTGATACTCACGTCTAAAATCTAATATAATACCACATTTAAACATATGGTTCTATTTGTCTATTTAAATAGCATGTCTAAGGTATAGCCTCTAAGATGTTCGATGGCATTTTAAAGTTCATACAAATGGATACAATCCTTACAACCTCTCTTTTCACATCCAAGATATTAAACTTGGGACTGTGCACGCAGTGGAGACAGAAGTAACCTGCTATTTGCCTTTTAATGAAAATGATAATGAAGTGATGTGATATGCTCTCAAAAGCTCTGTCAGGAGAAAATCTGAGCTTCAGGATGAACATACTTCATCCAAATACCTGCTTAGATAACACTTAACATCCCCTTTGTTGTTTTTTCTTAATTGCAAAACTGACCCCAGTTCTCTGCTTCAGGAACAGAGTTGAGACTCTAGGGCACCCTCCTGCCTTCCTCCAGGTGCCTGGGAATAGTCATTATCTTGCATGTTAAACACCCATCAATCATAAAACCGCCATTTAAAATAATGAAATATTCCAAAGTATATATATAAAAAAAAACCCCACTGGCTGCACACTTTATTGCACATTTTACACTGTTTCCAAGATTACTTACAACGTAAGCCGAGAGCCACAGTGAAATCTTCTTGTTATGCAAACCCGGGCACTTGTCAGACTTAACTACAAACCTGGCCGTGCGGTTTTTATCTTTAAGAAAAATGAACTACACCCTTCAGCCAAAGATTAGACAGCCCCATAAAAACAAAGCGAGACTAGTGGGGCACAACAGTCCAGGGACAAGGACTAGAAGGCAGGAGGGGACAGGAAAGCTGGTAATAGGGAACCCAAGGTTGAGAAGGGGCAGTGTTGACATGTCGTGGGGTTGTTAACCATTGTCATAAAACAATATGTGCACAAACTGTTTAATGAGAAACTATTTGCTGTGTAAACCTTCATCTAAAATACAATTTAAAAAAAAAACGAAAAAAAGAAAAACGAACTAAGATGGGGAAAGGTCACGTGTACCAGCGATGTGGTCATTCTGAATTAACACGCTCCATGTGTCACAGCTTGGTTTTCCAAATGCAAACACTTCTCGTTTCTTGGCAAGAAGTGGTGATGAGACAGGTGTTACATAGAAACGGTGACATCCGGTAATCAGGAGAGTCTGTGGAGGTTTCCCCTGGGTGTCTCTAGTATTAACACACATAAAAAATTATAATAAAAATGCTGCAGCCAGAAATATATCCCACAAGCCAGGCAGGTGTGTGTGACAGCTTTTGGGAGGGAAAACTAAATCAAGAAAATGAAGATAGCAGAAATACCGTTATCAGATTGTCTGCCGATTATAGCTGTTAGACTCTAAGAAAGAAAGAAAACAAAAACAGAACAAAACTGCCTACAGGACTAGGAGGGACCCTGGAAGGTCAAGAGAGTTAGTAGACAAGAAATATTTAAAGCTTTGCTCCAATGGAAGGGTAAATTTCTTTAAGATTTACTTGGGGTTTCCCTTGCACGGTTGCTTCCACTGATGTCTAGGCATGCACCAGATATATCAGACATTTTTTAAAAATGAGAGAAAGAGCTGCATTTTCCA